CTCTAGCCAACTTTGCATTTTTAATAAAGGGTCTCAGAGGTAAAAGTTGGGTGTTTTAGCCTTTAGGTACTGAGAAAGTGGTCTTCAATAATCCCATGAATGCTTGTGTCATACTTAACTTACTTCCTGTTGTGTGGAACAGAGGTGTGATGACTGTATCTCCATACACCCACATTTGGCCAAACAGGTCTTAGTCATTCTCTAGCCAACTTTGCACTTTTAATAAAGGATTTCAAAGGTACAAGTTGGGTGTTTTAGCCTTAAGATACCGAGAAAGTGGTCTTCAATAATCTCATGAATGCTCGCGTCATACTTAAGTTTTCCTGTTGTATGAGACAAAGGGGTCATGACTGTATCTCGATACACCCATATTTGGCCAAACAGGTCTCAGTCATTCTCTAGTCAACTTTGAATTTTTAATAACTAAATAATAATAACAATAATATTTTATTTTTTTACTCTCTTTATTGATTTCTCATTTTGAACATAAAACATAACAGTCATACAAACACCATACACATTTACACAGACACATTTACGTTTAAAAATAATTTAAATCATATTAACTGATATATCTCAGAATGAAAAATAGACAGATAAAGGGGGTCAATTTGAAAACCAAGATTATACAAATATATATATTTGAAAAAAAAGAAAAGGGGAGGGTAAGTAATGACAGGAATTAAAATAAATAAATAAAGTAATAAATAATTAAAAGTTATTTCCTTCTATTGGGGGTAAAGAACACTTCTAAAACTTGCCATCAGACTATGTGTTGTGGTTAAAATAATCAATAAACGGCTGCCAAATTCTATAGAACTTTCTTTCCTGATTTTTCAGTAAAAATCTAATTCTCTCCAGCTCCAAACGTCTCATAACGTCTGTCATAAGATTTGAATGACTTGGGGCTGTCTTTTGTTTCCAATTAAGTAGTATCAGTCTTCGTGCAAGTAGGGTGACAAACGAAATTATACTATGTTCCATATTGCTTTTCGTCACACTTGGATCAATAATTCCTAGAACCGCCACCAATGGGTCTATATTAATAGGTCTATGTAAAATATTTGATAGAGTCTGAAAAATATTGTCCCAGTAATTTGATAGCTTTTGGGAACTCCAGAACCTATGACCCAGTGTTGCAGGTCCGAGTCCACACCTGTCACATGAAGGATCTACTGAAGGAAATATTTTATGTAGCTTTTGTTTTGACCAATGTAAACGGTGTATTATTTTAAATTGCAGGAGACCATGTCTTGCACATATTGAAGAGCTATGAGTTTGTGCAAGGGCTACCTGCCATTGATCTTCCGTGATCCCATAATAACAATAATACATTTTATTTATAAGCGCTTTTCTAAATACTTTACATAAAAGCAGCAAAACAACATCAAATAGTAACAAAACATAAAAGTAACAAACATTAAAAACACATCAGACTAAGCTAAACATTAAAAGCAATATTAAAAAGGTGTGTTTTTGTAAGTGATTTGAATGTTGGAGGGTCGGTACAGTCACGGATGTGTTTCGGGAGAGAGTTCCAGAGGGAGGGGGCAGCTACAGAGAATGCTCTGTCGCCCCAGGTTCGGTGCTTGGTCCAGGGTGGAGGAGTCAGAAGGTTTGCTTCAGATGAGCGAAGGCTACGGGATGGATTGTGGCAATGGAGCAGGTCAGTGAGGTAGGAAGGAGCCTGATTATGGAGGGCTTTGTGTGTAAGGAGGAGGATTTTGAACTGAATGCGCTGTGGAACTGGGAGCCAGTGGAGGTTCTGGAGGACGGGAGTGATGTGATCACGGGTGCGGGTGTGGGTGAGTAAAAAGGGTCTCAGAGGTAAAGGTAGGGTGTTTTAGCCTTTAGGTACTGAGAAAGTGGTCTTCAATAATCTCATGAATGCTGGAGTCGTACTTAAGTTACTTCCTGTTGTGTGGAACAGAGGTGTCATGACTGTATCTCCATACACCCACATTTGACCAAACAGGTCTCAGTTGTTCAATAGCCAACTTAGTATTATTAATAAATAAAGGGTCCCAAAGGTACAAGTTGGATGTTTTGGCCTTTAGATACTGAGAAAAAAAGATAGATAGATAGATAGATAGATTTTCTTTATTGATCCCAAACTGGGAAATTGTTTTGTTACAGTAGTATAAGAAATTTTTGAGCATAGAAAAAAGAAATACTGTACAATATAGGTAGAATAGAAGGAATACAAAATATATACAAGAAAGAGTATTCACTGTAGTCTATGAAGTAAAATATAATATAAACATAACTGTAAACATATATATATATATATATATATATATAAGTGTTGTTGGTAAATGAGCAATAATAGTTAAGACAATAAGAATATATATATAAAAACTGTGCAAAAAGTATATACAACTGTGCAAAAAACAGTGTAGCAGTACCCGGAAGTAGTATGAATAAATAATAAATAAACAATAAATAAACTGTTAAGGTGCTGAGTGAAGGAGGATCAGGACCAGGGTGTAAACAGGACTATACAGCAGAGAGTTCAGAGTTCTCTCTGTCAGACAGAGGTGAGCTGTTGTAGAGTGCGATGGCTTGTGGCAGGAAAGACTTCCTGTATCGGTCCCTAAGATCTCCAACATCTTGTTGCACACACTGAAGGATCTCAGCTTCCTCAGGAAGTAGAGTCTGCTCATCCCCTTCTTGTAGACAGTGTCGGTGATGGCTTTCCAGTCCAGTCTGTCGTTGATGTTGACACCCAGATACTTATAGTTCTCCACCGCCTCCACATCCTCTCCCAGAACACACAGTGGCTGTAAGGTAGTCCTCTTCTTCCTGAAGTCAATCACCATCTCTCTGGTCTTGTTGACAATCAGCCGCAGGTGATTACGTCCAGCCCACTCCACAAAGTTGTCCACCAGTGCTCTGTACTCCTCCTCACTTCTCTCCCTTATACACCCGACAACAGCTGAGTCATCAGAAAATTTCTGCACGTGACATGACTCGGAGTTGTATTGAAAATCTGTGGTGTATAAGGTGAAAAGGAAAGGGGACAGCACAGTCCCCTGTGGAGCTCCTTTATCACTGACCACCGCATCAGACAGGACACTGCCCAGAGTGCTGCACAAGAGAGCTCACCACAGGGAGGAGAGGGGGAGGGGTGTAAACAGTGTGGGTGAGTGGGGGGCTGGAAGGCTGCGAGCTAAACCTGTTAGAGAAGCTATTCAGCTTGTTGGCTCTCTCCAGACCGCCTGATTGTTGGTTGCCCTTCACTTTACATCCAGTGATCTGTTTCATCCCAGTCCACACATCCCTCACATTGTTCTGCTGGAGGCCTCCAGCTTCCTCCTGTAGCTGTCTTTATACCCCTCAGCATCTCCTTGAGTTCATGCTGCACTCTCCTCAGCTCCTCTCCGTCACCTGTCCATGAAAAAGGAAAGAAATAGCAGGCAGATTAACAACTGATCGGACTTTACAGGTAACCCTGCTGAGAGACATTGCCACGGGTTTCCTGAAGGCCGCGAGGAGGTCAGTCCGCCTGACACCTCAGGCCTGTGTTAGTGATGCTTTATAACACCTGGCTGACCAGATAATGGACATGGAGCAGAAACATCCAGACTCCCTGCTCATTGTTCTGGTGGATTTCAACAGAGCAAACCTCAGCCATGACCTGCCTAAATATATACAGCATGTTAAGTGTTCCACCAGGGACACAAACACTCTAGACCACTGCTACTACTACTACTAAAATTAAAGAATGCCTATCGCTCTGTCCCCCATGCAGCCTTGGGGCGCTCTGATCACTGCAGGGTTAATCTTCTACCAACTTACAGGCAGAAGTTAAAATCTGCTACGCCTGTAGTAAAGACTGTCAGGAGATGGACCACCGATGCAAAGCTGGAACTACAGGCCTGCTTTGACTGCACAGATTGGAATGTTTTTGAGGCTGCAGCTTATGACCTGGATGAACTCACTGACACTGTGACATCATACACTATCTTTTGTGAGGACACGTGTGTGCAGACTAAAGCCTTCTGTACATACAAAAACAATAAACCCTGGTTCACTGGTTCAAAACTCAAGCAGCTTCGCCAGGTCAAGGAGGAGGCCTACAGAAGTGGGGACAGAGTCCTGTACAACCAGGCCAGAAACACACTGTAATTCCTCTTTGCTCCTTTGACCTCCTTTGTCAAACAGGTTTTCAGCCAACTGCTAAAGCATACATCAGGGGTATAATTATAGCCTATTCGGCCTCGAAAAAAAGAAAAGACAACAGCAACTAAAAATCGAAAAAGAGCTGGCAGATATTAAAAGTGCACTTTGCTTAACATCAGACCTGTTACTGTTGCAGAGGAAATGCGCAATACAGGCTGCTCTGGACACTATACTAACCCAGCAGGCTAAGAGTGCTCTCCTCTTCTCAAAGCAAAGGCTATATGAGTATGGGGATAAGCCCAGTAAGTATTTGTCTCATTTGACCAAAATTGAAAGGGACCCTCAAGTGATTCCTTCAATTTTAGATGGGAATGGCACCCGCCACCTTGATAACAAAAACATTAATAACACTTTCAGGCAATTTTACGCTAGGTTGTATGAATCAGATCATCCACAGGGAGTCTCAGATAGGATGGAATCCTTTTTAGGGAACCTAACCCTTCTAACCATCTCTGATTCCCAAAAAACGTGAATTAAATGCTCCCATCTCCAGGGAGGAGGCCTTATTGGCACTTAAGGGCAAGGCACCAGGGCCTGATGGCCTGAGCAGTGAATTTTATCGAGAATTTCAAGATGTGCTTGTGGACCCCTTCTTGGAAATGTTGGAACATTCTTTCATCACTGGTAACCTCCCCCATTCACTAAGAGAAGCCGATATCACCTTAATTTTAAAAAAAGGGAAGTCCCCTGAGGACTGCTCAGGATACAGGCCAATTGCTCTTCTGAATCAGGACATTAAAATACTATCCAAAATATTCAATTCAATTCAATTCAATTCAATTTTATTTGTATAGCCCCAATTCATAACAGAAGTTATCTCAGGACACTTTTCAAATAGAGCAGGTCTAGACCGAACTCTTTAACATTAATTACAGAGACCCAACAGTACCACCATGAGCAAGCACTTGGCGACAAGGGCAAGGAAAAACTGCCTGTTAAAAGGCAGAAACCTAGGACAGATCCTCCGGCTCTAGGTGGGTGGTCGTCTGTCTCGACCAGTTGGGATGAGAGAGAGAGAGAGAGAGAGAGAGAGAGAGCGACAGACAGACAGACAGGTGCATAGCAACAACAGTATTGGCAATGGCAGTCAAGCAGGACCATGGCAGGAGGCTCCACCAGGATCCATGAGAACCTGCGAGACGAGAAAGCACAAGAACTCCGGGGAAGAAGTGGAGTTAGTAACATGCATTAAAGGGACATGAATGAGTGCAGAAAGAGAGAGGAAGAGAGTAGCTCAGTGCACCATGGGAAATCCCCCGATAGTCTAGGCCTATAGCAGCATAACTAAGGGATGGTTCAGGACTCACCTGATCCAGCCCTAACTATAAGCTTTATCAAAGAGGAATGTCTTAAGCCTTCTCTTGAATGTGGTGAGGGTGTCTGCCTCCCGAACCACAACTGGAAGCTGGAAGCTGGCACTCCGTCTCGAGAAAGTTCTACCTTTTCTCATCAGAGAGGATCAGACAGGCTTTAACAAAGGTAGAAGTTCTAGTTACAATATTAAGAGGCTTCTACATATTATCAATATTTGTCAGACACAGGAAATTTATAGCATGGTCGTTTCATTGGACGCAGAAAAGGCATTCGACCTTGTCGAATGGTCATACCTGTTTAACGTCTTACATAAATTTAATTTGGGAGACAATTTTATTAGATGGGTCAAACTATTATATAAAAATCCCATTGGTCAAAGTATTATATAAAAATCCCATGGCCGCAGTCATCACCAATGGCTACAGATCTGACAACTTTCCACTTCATCGCTCAACACATCAGGGCTGCCCCCTTAGCCCCGCCCTTTTTGCCGACGTTTTGCTTTATGTGCTGGAGCCTGAAATTTCTGTTTCAAGCCTTGTTGATGTAATCACTTTGTTTGGATGTTTTTCGGGTTACAAAATCAATTTCTCAAAATCTTTGGCTATGCCAATGGGAAGCCTTAGAGATAGAACTAACACACTACCCTCATTCCCATTCAAATGGTCCATTACAGGTTTTGTCTACCTGGGCATTCACATCACACCTTTGTTTCATGAAATGTTTAAGGCTAATTTTAACCCCCTCCTAGACTCCATAAGGAAGGACCTGGACAGATGGACTCCACTCCCCTTGTCATTGCTTGGTAGAGTTTCTATCATTAAAATGAATATTTTGCCAAGATTATTATACCCCCTACAGATGATTCAATTCAATTCAATTCAATTTTATTTGTATAGCGCCAATTCATAACCAAAGTTATCTCAGGACACTTTTCAAATAGAGCAGGTCTAGACCGAACTCTTTAACATTAATTACAGAGACAGACAGACAGACGCACAGCAACAACAGTATTGGCAATGGCAGTCAAGCAGGACCATGGCAGGAGGCTCCACCAGGATCCATGAGAACCTGCGAGACGAGAAAGCACAAGAACTCCAGGGAAGAAGTGGAGTTAGTAACATGCATTAAAGGGACATGAATGAGTGCAGAAAGAGAGAGGAAGAGAGTAGCTCAGTGCACCATGGGAAATCCCCCGATAGTCTAGGCCTATAGCAGCATAACTAAGGGATGGTTCAGGACTCACCTGATCCAGCCCTAACTATAAGCTTTATCAAAGAGGAATGTCTTAAGCCTACTCTTGAATGTGGTGAGGGTGTCTGCCTCCCGAACCACAACTGGAAGCTGGTTCCACAGGAGAGGAGCTTGGTAACTGAAGGCTCTGGCTCCTGTTCTACTTTTAGAGACTATAGGAACCACAAGTAGCCCAGCATTCAGAGAACGTAGTGTTCTAGTGGGGTAATAGGGTACTATGAGCTCTTTAAGATATGAAGGGGCCTGACCATGAAGAGCTTTATAGGTGAGGAGGAGGATTTTAAATTCAATTCTACATTTTATAGGGAGCCAATGCAGAGTAGCTAGTACAGGAGAGATGTGATCTCTTTTTCTAGTTCCTGTCAGTACTCGTGCTGCAGCGTTCTGAATTAATTGGAGCGTTTTAATGGACTTATTGGGGCAACCTGATAATAAAGAGTTGCAGTAATCCAGCCTTGAAGTAACAAATGCATGGATTAGTTTTTCTGCATCTGTCTGTGATAGTATGTGTCTAATTTTTCTAATATTCTAATATATCTAATATAATATTACGTAAATGAAAGAAGGCAGTCCTAGAGGTCTGCTTTATGTGGGAGTTAAATGACAAATCCTGATCCAAGATAACTCCAAGATTCCTGACAGTGGTGCTCGAGGCCAAGTTAATGCCATCTAGAGTGACTATATCTTTAGACAATGAGTCTCTAAGGTTTTTGGGGCCAAGAACAAGAATTTCGGTTTTTTCTGAGTTTAACATCAGAAAATTGCAGGTCATCCAGGATTTTATGTCCTTAAGACATGTTTGTAATTTAGATAATTGATTAATTTCATTGGGTTTGATTGATAGATATAACTGCGTATCATCTGCATAACAGTGAAAGTTAATGGAGTGATTCCTAATAATGTTGCCTAAAGGGAGCATATATAAAGTAAATAGTATTGGTCCAAGTACAGAACCTTGTGGAACTCCATGACTAACTGTGGTATTTATTGAAGATTCATCGTTAACATGTACAAACTGCGAGCGATCTGATAAATATGACTTAAACCAGCTTAGTGCGGTTCCTTTAATGCCAATTTGATGCTCAAGTCTCTCTAAAAGAATATTATGGTCAATGGTGTCAAATGCAGCACTAAGATCTAATAATACAAGTACAGAGACAAATCCATTGTCAGAAGCAGTCAGAAGGTCATTATTAACTTTAACCAGAGCTGTCTCTGTGCTATGATGAACTCTAAATCCTGACTGAAAATCCTCAAATAAACTATTGTTATGTAGAAAGTCACACAGCTCTTTGGCGACTACTTTCTCCAGAATCTTAGAGAGGAAGGGGAGGTTAGAAATTGGTCTGTAGTTGGCGAAAACCCCTGGGTCAAGAGTGGACTTTTTAAGAAGGGGTTTAATTACAGCTACTTTAAAGGACTGTGGTACATATCCTGATAATAAAGAAAGATTAATCATATCCAGTAAAGAAGTGCCAATAAAGGGAACAACTTCTTTAAGCAGCCTAGTTGGGATCGGGTCTAATAGACAGGTTGATGGCTTCTATGAAGAAATGATTGAAGTTAACTGATGAAGATCGATAGCAGAAAAACAGTCTAAATATATATCTAAGTTTACATTGACAGAAGTCTCTGAACTTGGAGAGCCACTGATAACTGTTGATGGCAGTTGGTGATTAATTTTTTCTCTTATAGTAATAATTTTATTATAGAAGAAGCTCATGAAGTCATTGCTACTTAAGTTTATGGGGATATGTGGCTCAATAGAGCTGTGACTCTCTGTCAGCCTGGCTACAGTGCTGAAGAGGAACCTAGGGTTGTTCTTATTTTCTTCTATTAGTGCTGAGTAATAGGCTCCTCTGGGATTACGGAGGGCCTTTCTAAAAATTTTAAGATTATTTTGCCAATTTGAGCGATATTCTGATAATTTGGAAGAGCGCCATTTCCTTTCAGATTTTCTAGCTATTTGTTAAATTTACTAGCAGATTGGGTCAAGGTTAGGATCCTACTTCTGATTTGCTGAGTTTAGAAAAGTCACAGACCTCAGGCTCCCTGTTAGGCCTTTTGGCCTTCGAAGGACTTAAAGTCAGCCAGGAGCCATTGTAAAAACAACCCTATAATCTCTAATACATTAAAGACATGGTTTATTACTCAAAAGCTTGAAGGGAGGTCTGGAGTAACATCTCCATTGGTTCCAATTCAGGGCAATCCTAACTTCTTACCAGGCATGGTGGATGGTGGGTATAGCACTCAATGGACATCTCAAGGGATAAAGAGATGTCTTAAGGACATAAAATCCTGGATGACCTGCAATTTTCTGATGTTAAACTCAGAAAAAAAGGAAATTCTTGTTCTTGGCCCAAAAACCATTAGAGACTCACTGTCTAAAGATATAGTTACTCTAGATGGCATTAAACTTGGTCTAGCACCACTGTCAGGAATCTTGGAGTTTTCTTTGATCAGGATTTGTCATTTAACTCCCACATAAAGCAGACCTCTAGGACTGCCTTCGTTCATTTACGTAATATTACAAAAATTAGACACATACTATCACAGACAGATGCAGAAAAACTATATCCATGCATTTGTTAATTCAAGGCTGGATAACTGCAACTCTTTATTATCAGGTTGCCCAATAAGTCCATTAAAACGCTCCAATTAATTCCGAACGCTGCAGCACGAGTACTGACAGGAACTAGAACAAAGAGACACTCGCTGCTGTACTAGCTTCTCTGCAGTTGGGTCCCTGTAAAAAGACTAAGAATAAGACTTTAAAATCCTCCTCCTCACCTATAAAGCTTTCATGGTTTAGGCCCCTTCATAGGGTCCATTAAAGAGCTCATAGTACCCTATTACCCCTCTAGACACTACGTTCTCTGAATGCTGGGCTACTTGTGGTTCTATGAGTCTCTAAAAGTAGAACAGGGGGCAGAGCCTTTCGGTTACCAAGCTCCTCTCCTGTGGGACCATTCCATTGGTCTCGGGAGGCAGACACCTAACCACATTCAAGAGATAGGCTTAAGACATTCCTCTTTGATAAAAGCTTATAGTTAGGGCTGGATGAGGTGAGTCCTGAACCATCCCTTAGTTATGCTGCTATAGGCCTAGACTATCGGGGATTTCCCATGGTGCACTGAGCTCCTCCCTTCCTCTCTCTTTCTGCACTCATTCATGTCCAATTACTGCATGTTACTAACTTCACTTCTTCCCGGAGTTCTTGTGCTTTCAGTCACGCAGGTTCTCTATGGGATCCTGGGTGGAGCCTCCTGCCATGGTCCTCTTAGATTGCTATTGCCAATACTGTTGTTGCTGTGCACCTGTCTGTCTGTCCTCCTCTCTCTCTCTCTCTCTCTCTATGACCCAAACTGGTCGAGTACAGGCTACAACACCCACCTAACTGAAGGACTGTCCTAGTTTCTGACCCTTTATTAACAGTGCAATTTTGCCTAAAAACTGCAACCTGTGTGGCCAAATGCTTGGTGTATGGTGGTACTGTCATGGGCCCTTTCTTTCAATTAATGTTTTAAAGAGTTCGGTCTAGATTCCTGCTCTATTCATGAAAAGTGTCCTGAGACAACTTTCCCAGTTATCTAATTGACGCTATACAAATACCCAAATTGAACCTTTGAGACCCTGAATTATTAAAAATGTAAAGTTGGCTACAGAATGATTGAGACCTGTTTGGCAAAATATGGGTGTATGCAGATACAGTCATGACCCCTTTGTCTCATACAACAGGAAGTAACTTAAGTATGACTCCAGCATTCATGAGATGATTGAAGACCACTTTCCCAGTATCAAAAGGCTAAAACACCCAACTTGTACCTTTGAGACCCTTCATTTAAAGGGCAAAGTTGGCTACAGAATGACTGAGACCTGTTTGGCCAAATATGGGTGTATGGAGATACAGTCATAAGCCCTTTGTTTCAAACAACAGGTAGTAATTTAAGTATGATTCCAGCATTCATGAGATTACTGAAGACCACTTTCCCAGTATCTAAAGGCTAAAACACCCAACTTGTACCTTTGAGACCCTTTATTAAAAGTGCAAAGTTGGCTATAGAATGACTGAGACCTGTTTGGCCAAATATGGTTGTATGGAGATACAGTCATAACACCTTTGTTTCACACAACAGGAAGTAATTTAAGTATGACTCCAGCATTCATGAGATTATTGAAGACCACTTGCTCGGTATCTAAAGGCTAAAACACCCAACTTGTACCTTTGAGACCCTTTATTAAAAGTGCAAAGTTGGCTACAGAATGACTGCAACCTGTTTGGCCAAATATGGGTGTATGGAGATACAGTCATGACCCCTTTGTTTCACACAACAGGAAGTAACGTAAGTATGACTCCAGCATTCATGAGATTATTAAAGACCACTTTCCCAGTATCTAAAGGCTAAAACACCCAACTTGTACCCTTGAGACCCTTTATTAAAAGTGCAAAGTTGGCTACAGAATGACTGAGACCTGTTTTGCCAAATATGGGTGTATGCAGATACAGTCATGACCCCTTTGTCTCACACAACAGGAAACTTAAGTGTGACTCCAGCTTTCATGAGATGATTGAAGACCACTTTCTTAGTATCAAAAGGCTTAAACACCAAACTTGTACCTTTGAGACCCTTTATTTAAAGTGCAAAGTTGGCTACAGAATGACTGAGACCTGTTTGGCCAAATATGGGTGTATGGAGATACAGTCATAAGACCTTTGTGTCAAAAAACAGGAAGTAATTTAAGTATGATTCCAGCATTCATGAGATTATTGAAGACCACTTTCCCAGTATTTAAAGGCTAAAACACCCAACTTGTACCTTTGAGACCCTTTATTAAAAGTGCAAAGTTGGCTACAGAATGACTGAGACCTGTTTAGCCAAATATGGGTGTATGGAGATACAGTCATGACACCTTTATTTCACACAAAAGGAAGTAATTTAAGTATGACTCCAGCATTCATGAGATTATTGAAGACTACTTGCTCGGTATCTAAAGGCTAAAACACCCAACTTGTACCTTTGAGACCCTTTATTAAAAATGCAAAATTGGCTACGGAATGACTGAGACCTGTTTCGCCAAATATGGGTGTATGCAGATACAGTCATGACCCCTTTGTCTCATACAACAGGAAGTAACGTAAGTATGAACCCTTTCTCCCTATCTAAAGCTAAAAACCCCCCCTTCCCTTGCCCCTTTTAAAAAAAAGAGAATGACTGAGACCTGTTTGGCCAAATACGGGTGTAACGAGTTACAGTCATGACCCCTTTGTCTCACACAACAGGAAACTTAAGTATGACTCCAGCATTCATGAGATTATTGAAGACCACTTTCCCAGTATCTAAAGGCTAAAACACCCAACTTGTACCTTTGAGACCCTTTATTAAAAATGGAAAATTGGCTACAGAATGACTGAGACCTGTTTGGCCAAATATGGGTGTATGGAGATACAGTCATGACCCCTTTGTTTCACACAACAGGAGAGTAACGTAAATAAGACCGTTCCAAAACGGCAGTACAGAGACCCCTTTGTCCAACAACAGGAAACTTAAGTATGACTCCAGCATTCATGAGATTATTGAAGACCACTTTCCCAGTATCTAAAGGCTAAAACACCCAACTTATACCTTTGAGACCCTTTATTAAAAATGCAAAATTGGCTACGGAATGACTGAGACCTGTTTCGCCAAATATGGGTGTATGGAGATACAGTCATGACCCCTTTGTCTCACACGACAGGAAGTAACGTAAATATGATTTCCCCCCCCCTTTATAAAAAACAAATGACTGAGACCTGTTTTGTCAAATATGGGTGTATGGAGATACAATCATGACACCTTTGTTTCACACAACAGGCAACTTAAGTATGACTCCAGCATTCATGAGATCATTGAAGACCACTTTCCCAGAATCTAAAGACTAAAACACCCAACTTGTACCCTTGAGACTCTTTATTAAAAGTGCAAAGTTGGCTACACAATGACTGAGACCTGTTTGGCCAAATATGGGTGTATGGAGATACAGTCATGACCCCTTTGTGTCAAAAAACAGGAAGTAATTTAAGTATGATTCCAGCATTCATGAGATTATTGAATGGGGGGGGGGGGGGGGGGGGGGGGGGGGGGGGGGGGGGGGGGGGAGAGACAGACAGACAGACGCACAGCAACAACAGTATTGGCAATGGCAGTCAAGCAGGACCATGGCAGGAGGCTCCACCAGGATCCATGAGAACCTGCGAGACGAGAAAGCACAAGAACCCAGGGAAGAAGTGGAGTTAGTAACATGCATTAAAGGGACATGAATGAGTGCAGAAAGAGAGAGGAAGAGAGTAGCTCAGTGCACCATGGGAAATCCCCCGATAGTCTAGGCCTATAGCAGCATAACTAAGGGATGGTTCAGGACTCACCTGATCCAGCCCTAACTATAAGCTTTATCAAAGAGGAATGTCTTAAGCCTACTCTTGAATGTGGTGAGGGTGTCTGCCTCCGAACCACAACTGGAAGCTGGTTCCACAGGAGAGGAGCTTGGTAACTGAAGGCTCTGGCTCCTGTTCTACTTTTAGAGACTATAGGAACCACAAGTAGCCCAGCATTCAGAGAACGTAGTGTTCTAGTGGGGTAATAGGGTACTATGAGCTCTTTAAGATATGAAGGGGCCTGACCATGAAGAGCTTTATAGGTGAGGAGGAGGATTTTAAATTCAATTCTACATTTTACAGGGAGCCAATGCAGAGTAGCTAGTACAGGAGAGATGTGATCTCTTTTCTAGTTCCTGTCAGTACTCGTGCTGCAGCGTTCTGAATTAATTGGAGCGTTTTAATGGACTTATTGGGGCAACCTGATAATAAAGAGTTGCAGTAATCCAGCCTTGAAGTAACAAATGCATGGATTAGTTTTTCTGCATCTGTCTGTGATAGTATGTGTCTAATTTTTCTAATATTACGTAAATGAAAGAAGGCAGTCCTAGAGGTCTGCTTTATGTGGGAGTTAAATGACAAATCCTGATCCAAGATAACTCCAAGATTCCTGACAGTGGTGCTCGAGGCCAAGTTAATGCCATCTAGACTGACTATATCTTTAGACAATGAGTCTCTAAGGTTTTTGGGGCCAAGAACAAGAATTTCGGTTTTTTCTGAGTTTAACATCAGAAAATTGCAGGTCATCCAGGATTTTATGTCCTTAAGACATGTTTGTAATTTAGATAATTGATTAATTTCATTGGGTTTGATTGATAGATATAACTGCGTATCATCTGCATAACAGTGAAAGTTAATGGAGTGATTCCTAATAATGTTGCCTAAAGGGAGCATATATAAAGTAAATAGTATTGGTCCAAGTACAGAACCTTGTGGAACTCCATGACTAACTGTAGTATTTATTGAAGATTCATCGTTAACATGTACAAACTGCGAGCGATCTGATAAATATGACTTAAACCAGCTTAGTGCGGTTCCTTTAATGCCAATTTGATGCTCAAGTCTCTCTAAAAGAATATTATGGTCAATGGTGTCAAATGCAGCACTAAGATCTAATAATACAAGTACAGAGACAAATCCATTGTCAGAAGCAGTCAGAAGGTCATTATTAACTTTAACCAGAGCTGTCTCTGTGCTATGATGAACTCTAAATCCTGACTGAAAATCCTCAAATAAACTATTGTTATGTAGAAAGTCACACAGCTCTTTGGCGACTACTTTCTCCAGAATCTTAGAGAGGAAGGGGAGGTTAGAAATTGGTCTGTAGTTGGCGAAAACCCCTGGGTCAAGAGTGGACTTTTTAAGAAGGGGTTTAATTACAGCTACTTTAAAGGACTGTGGTACATATCCTGATAATAAAGAAAGATTAATCATATCCAGTAAAGAAGTGCCAATAAAGGGAACAACTTCTTTAAGCAGCCTAGTTGGGATCGGGTCTAATAGACAGGTTGATGGCTTCTATGAAGAAATGATTGAAGTTAACTGATGAAGATCGATAGCAGAAAAACAGTCTAAATATATATCTAAGTTTACATTGACAGAAGTCTCTGAACTTGGAGAGCCACTGATAACTGTTGATGGCAGTTGGTGATTAATTTTTTCTCTTATAGTAATAATTTTATTATAGAAGAAGCTCATGAAGTCATTGCTACTTAAGTTTATGGGGATATGTGGCTCAATAGAGCTGTGACTCTCTGTCAGCCTGGCTACAGTGCTGAAGAGGAACCTAGGGTTGTTCTTATTTTCTTCTATTAGTGCTGAGTAATAGGCTCCTCTGGGATTACGGAGGGCCTTTCTAAAAATTTTAAGATTATTTTGCCAATTTGAGCGATATTCTGATAATTTGGAAGAGCGCCATTTCCTTTCAGATTTTCTAGCTATTTGTTTTAACTGGCGGGTTTGGTAGTTATACCAAGGTGCTAGTCTCCTATGTTTTAATAATTTCCTTTTTAAAGGAGCGATAGAGTCTAATGTTGATCGTAGTGAGCCTGTAGCACTATCGACAAGATTATCAATTTCAGAGGGACTAAAGTCGTTATAGAACTCTGTTAAATTCAGACATGGCATTGAATTAAACACTGAAGGAATCTCCTCCTTAAATTTAGCTACAGCACTGTCAGATAGACATCTGCTGTAGGAAGTTTTGCCTAATGGCTTATAATCTAATAGTATGAATTCAAAAGTTATTAAATAATGGTCAGATAGGAAAGGATTATGTGGGAAGACTATTAAATGTTCAATATCAATGCCATATGATAAAACAAGGTCAAGAGTGTGATTAAAACAATGAGTTTTATCACTTCTGACAGAAGCCAATTGAGTCTATTAATGATATAAATGCATTACTAAGGCTGTCATTGTCAACATCCACATGAATATTAAAATCACCTACAATAATTACTTTATCTGATTTAAGAATTAAACTTGATAGAAACTCTGAAAATTCAGATATAAAATCAGAGTACGGTCCAGGAGCGCGGTACACTATAACAAATAGAACTGGCTGCAGTGTTTTCCAGTTTGGGTGAAAAAGACTAAGAACAAGGCTTTCAAATGAATTATAATTTGGTTTAGGTTTAGGGTCCATTAAAACGCTCGAATCATATATGGCTGCCACTCCACCTCCTCGGCCTGTGCCTCGAGGAATGTGAGTATTAAGATGACTGGGGGGGGGGTGGATTCATTTAGGCTAACATACTCCTCGTGGGACAACCAGGTCTCAGTAAGACAAAGTAAATCAATATCATAGTCTGATATTAATTCATTCACTAAAACAGCTTTAGAGGACAGAGACCTGATATTTAACAGCCCACATTTCATTCTCTTATTTTGTGCTACTGAGGAGTTAGTTTTAATTTTTATTAGATTTTTTTTTTTTTTTTTTTTTTTTTTTTTTTTTTTTTTTTATTTTTTTGGGGGGGGGGGGGAAAAAATCTTTTTTGGGGTTTTTGGGGGGGGGTGTTTTTAAAAAAAAGGAAGAAAAGGTTTGAAGAAAGCAGCGCTGCTTCCTGGTCCTAACTCTGGACTGTCAGTATTGAAGACCACTTTGCCAGTATTTAAAGGCTAAAACACCCAACTTGTACCTTTGAGACCCTTTATTAAAAGTGCAAAGTTGGCTAAGGAATGACTGCAACCTGTTTGGCCAAATATGGGTGTATTGAGATACAGTCATGACCCCTTTCTTTCACACAACAGGTAGTAATTTAAGTATGATTCCAGCATTCATGAGATTATTGAAGACCACTTTCCCAGTATCTAAAGGCTAAAACACCCAACTTGTACCTTTGAGACCCTTTATTAAAAATGCAAAGTTGGCTACGGAATGATTGAGACCTGTTTTGCCAAATATGGGTGTATGCAGATACAGTCATGACCCCTTTGTCTCACACAACAGGAAGTAACGTAAGTATGACTCCAGCATTCATGAGATTGTTAAAGACCACTTTCCCAGAATCTAAAGACTAAAACACCCAACTTGTACCCTTGAGACTCTTTATTAAAAGGGCAAAGTTGGCTACAGAATGACTAAGACCTGTTTGGCCAAATATGGGTGTATCAAGATACAGTCATGACCCCTTTCTTTCACACAACAGGTAGTAATTTAAGTATGATTCCAGCATTCATGAGATTATTGAAGACCACTTTCCCAGTATCTAAAGGCTAAAACACCCAACTTGTACCTTTGAGACCCTTTATTAAAAGTGCAAAGTTGGCTACAGAATGACTGAGACCTGTTTAGCCAAATATGGTTGTATGGAGATACAGTCATGACACCTTTATTTCACACAACAGGAAGTAATTTAAGTATGACTCCAGCATTCATGATATTATTGAAGACCACTTTCTCGGTATCTAAAGGCTAAAACACCCAACTTGTACCTTTGAGACCCTTTATTAAAAATGAAATGTTGGCTGCAGAATGACTAAGACCAGTTTGGCCAAATATGGGTGTATCAAGATACAGTCATGACCCCTTTCTTTCACACAACAGGTAGTAATTTAAGTATGATTCCAGCATTCATGAGATTATTGAAGACCACTTTCCCAGTATCTAAAGGCTAAAACACCCAACTTCTACCTTTGAGACCCTTTATCAAAAGTGCAAAGTTGGCTACAGAATGACTGAGACCTGTTTAGCCAAATATGGGTGTATGGAGATACAGTCATGACACCTTTATTTCACACAACAGGAAGTAATTTAAGTATGACTCCAGCATTCATGAGATTATTGAAGACCACTTGCTCGGTATCTAAAGGCTAAAACACCCAACTTGTACCTTTGAGACCCTTTATTAAAAATGCAAAGTTGGCTACGGAATGACTGAGACCTGTTTTGCCAAATATGGGTGTATGCAGATACAGTCATGACCCCTTTGTCTCACACAACAGGAAGTAACGTAAGTATGACTCCAGCATTCATGAGATTGTTAAAGACCACTTTCCCAGAATCTAAAGACTAAAACACCCAACTTGTACCCTTGAGACTCTTTATTAAAAGGGCAAAGTTGGCTACAGAATGACTGAGACCTGTTTGGCCAAATATGGGTGTATCAAGATACAGTCATGACACCTTTATTTCACACAACAGGAAGTAATTTAAGTATGACTCCAGCATTCATGAGATTATTGAAGACCACTTGCTCGGTATCTAAAGGCTAAAACACCCAACTTGTACCTTTGAGACCCTTTATTAAAAATGCAAAGTTGGCTACGGAATGACTGAGACCTGTTTTGCCAAATATGGGTGTATGCAGATACAGTCATGACCCCTTTGTCTCATACAACAGGAAACTTAAGTATGACTGCAGAATTCACGGGATTATTGAAGACCACTTTCTCGGTATCTAAAGGCTAAAAAACCCAACTTGTACCTTTGAGACCCTTTATTAAAAATGAAATGTTGGCTGCAGAATGACTAAGACCTGTTTGGCCAAATATGAGTGTATGGAGATACAGTCATGACATCTTTGTTTCACACACCAGGAGAGTAACTTAAGTATCACTCCAGCATTCATGAGATAATTGAAGACCACTTTCTCTGTATTTAAAGGCTAGAACACCCGACTTGTACCTTTGAGACCCTTTATTAAAAGTGCAAAGTTGGCTACAGAATGACTGAGACCTGTTTGGCCAAATATGAGTGTATGGAGATACAGTCATGACATCTTTGTTTCACACACCAGGAGAGTAACTTAAGTATCACTCCAGCATTCATGAGATAATTGAAGACCACTTTCTCTGTATTTAAAGGCTAGAACACCCAACTTGTACCT